TTCTGAGCAGTGTGATGAAAATTGGCGCTGTCCTGCCTGAGACACGAATCATCCCTTTGTCCAGGGTGTCCCCACTGTATACCTGACTCACCTGTTAAGTCACCTAGAAGCTGCCTCCGTCATCAGACCAACTGTTTCCGTATATCGCCAGTGCTCACGGTCACGTCACCCTTATCTTGCTTAATGATGGCCCCAGGGCAAAAGAGTAGTGATGCTGGTAATTCAGACACTCCATGGAGAAGCTTCCCTTAAATGAAAAGGTGAAAAGTTGCTCAATAAGGAAGAAACATCATATGCTGAGGTTGCTAAGGCCTATGGGTAAGAAAATCTCGTCTATTTGGAATTGTGAAGAAAGAAAAAGAAATTCATGCTAGTTTTACCGCTGCACCTCAAACTGCACAAGTTACAGCCACAGTGCACCAGGCGAGAAAACAGTAACACACGTGGTAGGCAGGAATCTAACTATACCGATAATTGCTGTGAATGTGAATGGTCTAAATTCACCAATTAAAAGACAGATTGTCGGAGTGGGTCAAAAAAACTAGACCCAACTATATATTGTCTACAAGACACCCACTTTAGAGATAAAGATTAAAAGTATATGGATGGATGAAAATATACCATGCTAGAAAGTGGGGTGGGGGAGTGACTGTATCTACTGCAGGAAGAGCAGATGCAAAGCAAGGACGAGTTGAAGACAAAGGAATAAAGTAGGATCCTCACCTCACCCCAGACTCCTGGCAACCACTGATCTGTTCTTCGCCATTGCAGCTTAATATTTTTTAAGAGTTTCTGAGAATGCCAAATAAATGGAATCATGCATTATGTAACCTTTCGAAAGTGGGTTCTCTCACTCAGCATAATAACTTTCAGATTTCTCCAAGTCATAGATATCAATAGTTTGTTCCCATGTACTGTTGCATAGGATTCGGTGGTGTGCTTATACCGCAGCCCCTTATCCAGCCGCATCCTGAAGAGTGTTGGGTGTGTGTGTGTGTGTCTGGATTCTGACCACAGCAAGTAAAGCTGTTGTGAACAGTCATGCACAGGCTCTTGTACAAGTCAAGGTTCTGTTTCTCTGAGCTATAGACCTAAGAGTGCAGTTGCTGGGGGTCAGATATACACCTGACTTTGTAAGAACTTACCATTCTCCACAGTGGCTGCACCCCTTTACACTCCCACTTGAAAGATACGGATTCTGTAGTGGCTCCGTGTGCTTATCTGCATTTGGTGTTTTCAGTATTTCTTTTTAGTTTTAGCCATTCAAATAAGCACGAGAGTAATCTTACTCTTGTATCTGACTATGTTTTTAGTTTGCATTTCCCTCATGACTAAAGATATTGACGCTCCTTGGTCATCCTACATCCTCTTTGGGGAAATGTCTCTTCCAGTCGTTGCCCCCTTTTCATGACTACTTGTCTTCTTACTGTTGAGTTGGAGAGTTCCGTGTGTATTCTGGATACAAGCCCTCTGCTGGAACTGCAGTTTTCAAATGTGTCCTCCTCTTCCACATCTTGGCTTTTCATCCTCATGACAGCATCTTTGGAAGAACAAAGGTTTAAAATCTTGAGCTGGATGAATTCAGGTTTTCACTCTTTTAATGCATCTTTTGTTGGGTGTTAGTCTAAGAACTCTTTGCCTAACCCCAGTTCAGAAGGATTTATCCTGTTTTTTTCTAAACGCTGTATAGTTTTATGTTTTTCATTTAGATTATGTTCCATTTTGAGTTAATCTTTATATAAGGTGTGAGTCTTCTGTCAAGGTCTAACTCTTTGCTTATGGATGACCAATTATTCCAACAAATACCATCTTTCTTCCACTGAATTGTGGTTACACTTTGTCAAAGATAAAATGAGTGTATTTGTGTGAGTCTTTTCTGGACTTTCCATTTAGTCCCATTGATCTCTGGGTCTGTATCTTCTCTTTGAGTCTCTTTTAACTGAAAAAAAAATGACAAATTTGTCATATGTCATGAGCAATGGGGGGAGGGGGGGAGGGCGGTGGTGGGATCAGTCACCTGTGTGTCTGAGAACTAGTAGCAGCTAATTCTCCCCGTCGTCTATTTCCCAACAGTTTCCAACTCAGATACTGCAGAAACTGGGGTGAACAGCTCAGTCAAGTGCCAGTTAGCTTTGTGGTATAACTGACTAATAACACCAGTGTCTCCTTCTGTAAATGTGCTCCTTACTCTCATTGGTGTCAGCTGAGAACTGGGCCAGCCTCACGTGACTCAGAGCAGAGGGAAGGGAGTAGCATCTGACCTCAGGAAAAGTTTCAGATGAAAATGGTAGGGAGATTCACTGTTCTCTGCACCATTCACTGTTTAATTGGTAAATTAAAGTGTCATCCAAGCCACAGAGGAGGTTTATTACACCAACAATGTGTGTCGGTTGAAAATAGTTTTCTGGGTTGCCCTTCAGCATGGGCTGTTTGGATGAGAAAGACCCAGGATGACATCCCAGTGCATGGAGTACAGATGGACGGACGCACAGACAGATGGGTGCAGACCTAGATAGTCTCTTTCCTTTCCCCTGCACACACTAGGGTCATGTAATACACACCATTTCACAACTAAAACAGGTCATCTGCTGCATCCAAGGCTGGAGTTCACGGCACTAATCACGTCTCATTATTTCTTTTGATCAAAGGCCATGCAGGTGGTAGAGTCGGTGTGAAGTAAACACGTTTTCTCCATTCAGGCTGATGTTGGAGGACTCCTTTTCCTGGGTGTATTAGGGTGAGAATTGCTGCTAAGAAATAATGCACTTTTCATTGAAATGGCCGGATGGAGCCACGACTTTCACAAAGACACAAGGGTGTTTGGGTGCCAAGACCACACGGCACATTCTAACCCCTGGGCATCTTGTCAGCAGCCCTGGTAGTGTGGGCTGTGAGTGGCGGCTTCCTTCAGGTACAAACACATCAGTCCTGTCACTCTGCTCTTTCTGAGTTCCAGTCAGCTTTTCCAGCGTTCATTCATCATGCGCCTCAGTAAAGCAGTGAGAATTTTCTCACTATCTACCTTTTACTTTTCTCACTTTAGCGGGTGCCTCTAGGTAAGATGGGATTGGATTGTAGAGTAGGAAAAGGGGCCACCCTCATTTACTCATTTGTTCATTCACACATTCCTTCATTCACTCCGGAGATATTTATTGAGCGCTCACTCCGTGTTAAGTACTGTAATCAATAAGGGAAACCTTGGCCTTTAAGGAGCTCATGCTGGATGGATCCTTGATACAGCACATGGTCCCCCACTCAGCCTTGAGCATCAGAGAAGGCCCCTGGAGCAGGTGGCAGCTGAGCTGAGTCTTGGAGGACAAATACGAGTAGAAATAGTCCCAGGGGGCGTCAGAGGGAGGGGTGAGTGTCCACGCAGAGAACATTGCCTGGATAAGGGCCCAGAGAGGATGATGTCAAGGCTTCTGAGGAAACTGGGACAATTTTAGTATTACAGGAGCACACAGCATGGGCTGGGTTTTGTGTCATCCAGTACACACACACACACACACACACACACACACACAACCTAGAATATCCTAGAGAGGGAATGTATTCTCTAACCCACCTCGGGCCCCACCCTTTCCCATTGTTCTGCTCTACCCTGTTTATCTTATTACCTTCCTGGCTCAGATAGGCATTTGAATCTGGGGTCCTCCACCTCTGAGCCTTGATAAAAGGTCAAACTATCTCAGTTGCCATTTTGAGTAGGAGAGGAAAGGAGACTAGTTTTTTGATGGAATTATGAGGAATAACCCAATGGAAGATCTTACCCATGAGATAAGACTAGGAGGATTAGTCACATGTGTTAAAAGAAGGGTCTTTTTTTCTCAAAGAGGAAAATGGAGCATAAAAACATATTTATTGATGTCCTACCATGTGTCAGATACCATGCTAAGTTCTTTTATATCAGGTCTTTCTATAAAAGATGGTAGTAATTTAAAGAGATCATATATTCATGTATGAAGTTAAACTGATAATTTATAAAGTGACTTTATGCATCGCAACATATTTTATTTACGGGGATGTCACTTTAATGCTTAATGCAATCAAATATTCGCCACTATTAAGGGAAGGTCGATTACGTGTTAGCTACTCAGCTGTACGGGGGACACAGGACACTCAGGGTCCCTGCCTTGCTCCCTGCTGGGGCCTCTCCACAGTGGGAACAATGATCTCTGTCTGGGCTGTTGAGCTGTCCGGGGTGAGTCACTCCAGCATTAAAGGAAAACTTTGGAAGAATAAGTCGAGTTTGCAACCTTGGTAAACTTGAACACATTTGTACATTTAAGATTGATTTGGATGGAGCCAACCCTTTGCCTTCCCGGAATGAGTATCCCGGCCACTGGGTGAATCAGCAACAGGCGCCTGGTGAGCCAGGGTGACTCCGTCCTCCCAAGGCTGCCCCTGCTGATGGCTGAGGGCTGTGACGAGCTGGTCGAACCGCCTTTAAAAAACAACATCTTGGTCCTCACAACAGAAGTTGTGTGAGCTGGTCAGCCTGTGCAGACCTGCATGGGGTGTGAGTCAGGAGAAGTGAGGAGACCTTCCTCCTGGGGAAGGAGAAGAGTCTGAGTCATCTCGGAGCCCCTCCGAATGGCCTAGCAGAGCGCCTCAGGCCGACTGCTGCTCGGTAAACATTTGCTGACCCAACACCCAATTAACCAGAGATCCATATCTGCAAAGAGAGCTGTCTTTTCCAATCTGCCAGAGGCCACCGTGTTTGTGACTGCCCTGTATTTGGAACCTTGGAGTACAAAACGGGCTGTGTTTGTATATACAACACCCCTATTTCCCGGCTCTGACATCCAGGTAAAAATAGACTGCACTAAGTCACCTGCACACGAGCTTCTTCCCTCCCCTCCCAGGTGCCTCCGTGGGCCCTGTTTTCCCTCCTCGGGTCTGGCAACTGTCACTGGCCCCAGCGCAGCAGAAGATTCGGTTTTATCGTTTCGATCAGCTGCGGTGCTGGTGCAATCGCAGTTGGAGAGCCACGGGCAAAAATGACGCAAGTTTGCACGCCTGATGATGAGAACGAGGGGTAACCTTAGAAGGGGAGGGAAGGCCCCACCAGAGGAAAGAGACTCGCAGTTAGGGACAGCAGTGACACAGGAGTGAGGACCACAACATGAGCACCTGGAAGAAACTAACCGGAGGACCTGGGCTGCATTGAAAATAAGGTGGGTCCAGAATTCTGAATCGAAAGAAGCTCGGAGGGAGGGAGGCTCTCGTTCTACCTGTGAAAAGCCGAGCGTTCGGAACACCTGGCCAGTGGTAAGAGCAGCCAAGGGAAGAAGACTGAGAAATATTCAGGAACATTTGCTGGAGAGAGAGAGAGAGAGGGAGAGGGAGGAACTTAGAATGGCAAATGGAAGAAAATAGAAACATTGAGGCAGTTTTTAAAAAGACTTTATTTGTTTGCAGAGAAAGGGGAAGGAAGGGAGAAAGAGAGGGAGAGATACATCAATCAGTTGCCTCTTCCAAGCCCAGCACTGGGGACCTGGCCAGCAACCTAGGGATGTGCCCTGACCTGGAATAGAACCAATGACCTTCCAGGTTGCTGGATGACACCCAACCCGCTGAGCCACACCAGTCTGGGCTCAAGGCGGTATTAAGGAGGGTGGCTTTCCCTGGTTCGTATCAGACTGCAGTTTCACAGAAGGGACCTGTGGAAAGAGGCTGGACTGAACCCTGGGATTGAGGAGGTGGCTTTCACACCACCAGCAGAGCAGGGGAGTTACGTGAATTCTGGGGCTGCAGAAAGCGGAGTCACCTGGCACCCAGCAGCACCTTGCAGAGCTCCCCGAGGTGGGTTGGGAACGCTGCTCAGAAGCGAGCAGGGCGCCTAGACCGCTGTCACGGCCTCAGATCGAATGATGGCACACTGTAATGTTTACCAGCGTGGGGGAGGTCGGATCAGACTGGTGTGATTTTTTTTCCTGTAATGAAACTTGCTCCAGCAAGCCGGACTGGGAGCTTACTGCCTGCGCTGTTTCCCAACATGGTTCGGCTGGGCAAACCAGCCGTGACGGTTTCCTCGACTCTCAGGGGCTCTGTTCACGGGGGCAGTGACATAGTTTTCATGGCCCGCTCTCTTACCTTTCACCGCCACTTTTCAAGTGGGAGGAGGGTTAAAGGTCAGTGGGTGAGCAGGAGGATCCCTGTCCTGCCACTGGTGGGCGTGCCTGTGTGTGCGTGCCTGTCTGCACAGGCTGGCGCTCGTGCGTGCGCTTTCCTGCACGCTGATGGTTGCGCCCTGATCCGGTTGGCAAGCCCTGACCCCCATTCGCAAGCACGGTGATGGGTGCCAGGCCAGTTGTTTGGCAGTTTCCTACGTTGTTTATTGTAAAGAAGGTAAATCAGTCTTCGGGGGTTTCTGGGTCAGAGGGCGGGGGGTATTTACTGTCAACAGGAGAAGGGCGAGGGGATAAAGGGTGCTGAGCTCTGCGGTGTGCCTGCTCTCAGGAGGAGAGCGGGAGGAGGTGGGGAGAGGCCACCCGCAGGGATCTCTGCCCTGGGGTGCTTGCGTGGGAAGCGCAACTTGGGAAACTGCTCTTTGGCCCGAGCGCCAGAGCCAAACAGAAGAAAAATAAGGTTGGACTCAACTTCCATTTCATCGACTCTCCTTTTCAAAGTTTTTTTTTTTTTAATTCTCCCTAAACTGACAGATGGATGCTCACAATTTGGGAATAAGAGTTTAAGCGAAGAATCGAGGAGGCACGTGTCTGGTCCCCGCACACATGCCCCGAGAAACCGAAGCCAGAGAGCCTGGCGGGAGTGGGAGAGCGGCCGCGAGCACCGTCCTTCCCGGAGAAGCAAGCCCCACGTCCGCTCTGCTCGGGGCCGACCCAGAAGCAATGAAATCTCTGACTTCGGAAAGCTCAGAAGAGGACCTGCTGGATAAGGTGAGGACAGACACTGGTCTCCCACACCCCCTCTCAGCCCTCCTCACCCCCCTCAGCCCTCCTCACCCCTCCTCACCTCCCTTACCCCTCCCTACCCCTCCTCACCTCTCCTCACCCCTCTTCACCCCCTCACCCCTCCCTACCCCTCCTCACCCCCTTACCCCTCCCTACCTCTCCTCACCCCCCTCAGCCCTCTTCACCCCTCCTCACCCCCCTCACCCGTCCCTACCCCTCCTCACCCCTCCTTACCTGCTCACCCCTCCTCACCCCTCTTCACCCCCCTCAACCCTCCCTACCTCTCCTCACCCCCGTCAGCCATCCTCACCCCTCCTCACTCCCCTCACCCCTCCCTACCCCTCCTCATCCCTCCATACCCCTCCTCACCTCTCCTCACCCCCCCCACCCCCTCCTCACCCCCCCCTCAGCCCTCCTCACCCCTCCTCACCTGTTCACCCCTCCATACCCCTCCTCACCTCTCCTCACCCCTCCTCACCCCTCCTCACCTCTTCTTATAGCTCCCTACCCCTCCTCACCCCCTTACCCCTCCCCACCTCTTCTCACTCCCCTCACCCCTCCTCACCCCTTTCACCCCCCATCCCTCCTCACTTTTCCTCACTCCCTCACCCCTCCTGACACTCTCACACCACAAATCTTGATTCAGACTTCATTATCATAGTAATAAGTTGGTTTCTTAGGCAAAACTACTAGAAGATAAATAAGAAAAACTTACAATGGTAAAAATTATAGCAAAATGATTTCCCATTATTTTTCCTTATGAGGGCTCTTTGATAGGAGGAGTGTTGGCTGACATTTTCCCATTATCCTGTGTTTTCTGAAAGAAAGAAGTCCAAACATTTTAGCCCGGCCTTCGAGTAATGCTTTTATCTTTCTACTCTCCACCTCCCTGCATCTCCAACGGGACTTTCAGACATCCCTCTGCTCACTGAATCCAGCCTGTGCACGTGCTTTCTGTAGCCTCTTAGCGTATTTCGAATTTGTTGCAAATACGGGGTGGGCAAAAGTAGGTTTACAATTGTGAGTACGCAAAACAGAGTTTATTCTTGTATTATTATTTATTAATTATTGTATTATTCTCCATATGAACAACTGTAAATCTACTTTTACCCACCCTGTATTTTAAAATAGAGATTTTTGAATAGAAACCCAGATTTTCATCTTCTCTGGGGGGGAAATAATCAAGGTATCTGGTGACCACAGGTCCCAGTTTCTTGCCTGGCAACCGTGGGCTGGAGCTGCGTGACCAACAGGACCTGGAGCTCCCTGGCCCTTGGGGCTCTGAGCCCGACACCTGCTCCTCCCCATCCCCCCATCTGTGTCCTCCACCCCACCCCACCCCTGGGGGTGGTTGTGTCTGGCACTCCTGCCCCACAAAAGGGGCAGCTCTGAGAAGTTCGCAGGCCAGAGAGGGAACAGCTCCTCCTCCCCCACTTTCCTGCCTCATAGCCACCCTTCCGATTCAGCTCAGAGTCCACGTTCTCAAAAAAGTTTCCCAGACACAAAACATTTTCCCCAGCACAAAACGATTTTTGCCTTCCTGTGAACTCCCCTCGTAATTATTACTGATAATATTTATTTGACAATCATTATTGTAAATATTATATTGCTTGATTGTCTCTAAGTTTCTGGAGGGAAGAAGAGAGTCTTGGATATCTTTATTCCCCTTGATATTCATGCAGTATCTTTGCACACATGTGGTCAGAAAATCTTCAGGGTTTACGGAAGATACTGCAAAAATAGTGTAAGAGGTGCTGGCAGGTGGAGGCCCACACAGTATCTCATTAATCTAATGGCAACCCTGTGACACACGCAGAGGAGGGAACGGAGGCCCATGTGGATTAAATAACTTGCCCTAAGTCACACAGCTGGGTAGAGAGGGGGCTGAGGTTTCAGCGCACTGTTCTTGACCCCAAAGCCGTAGGTCTCCTGCAAAACGCACCCTTCTATACAAATCTCCGTAAGCACGCGCTGAGCCCCGGCTCTGGGAAGAACACGGTGCCCAGAACCCAGGTCCGGGGTGTGGCTTGCTGACTGAGAGAGGTTCTGTGCTCCGGTGGCCTCCAAGGGTGGCCCTGTCCCACCTGCGCATCTTGCCCATAACTCCAGAGGCAAAAGGGATAATTGTGCAGATGAGTAAATGTTTAAAGTCACACATGGCTGACCACAGGGCTGCAGTAGGATTCAAATGGGCTGCTGGAGGCGGACGGGTAGCTCCGTGGGAGAAGCGCTTCAGGGCGGAGGCAAAGCCTCCGCGCATGCGTAGGACTTGAGCGAGCGGAGGATCAGAGCAGAGGCCGTGGGGTTAAGGCAGCCCATTCACGCGGTGGGCGTGGGTTTCTGTCCCACTCACCTTGCCCTTGGGGAGGCTGTGTGCAGTGATTCTGACGTGGGCTTCAGAATGACACAGCCCGCGCGTGGACCCCTGTCCTGTGACTCGCTGACTCTGGGACCCTGGGCGAATTCCTTACTCTTTCTGAACTTCAGGCTCCCCATCTGTAAAATGGGGGCAATCATAGCATCCGTCTTAAAAGGATCCTGGGAGGCTCCAAGGAGCTAAGCCTTAGAAAGTATCCCGCACATCTCCAGCTTCCCCAGTCTGAGCTCCTTCGTGCCCCTATTGCTAAGGCTTCTGCTATGCGTGGGAGCTGCAAATATCCCGTGGGGCCCGAGCATCTGGTTCACGGAAGAATTAGTCTGAAAAGATGAGGATATGATGGCGGAAAACCTGTTTCATGATACATATCGCTGAATTTAAGTCTCCACCCCTTCCCATTAGTAACCCCTGGAAGACAGAGACGGCGTCTGTCCTTCTGTACATTGATTACTGGACTTGATGCGATCCCAGAATTAAAAGGCCGACTTCCTGCTTTCGGGAAAGAAGGTCATTCCCAGCGCGCAGCTGGGCGCCGTTTCCCGGCCTCGCTCTCCAGCAAGCGCATCGGAGTGCGGATGAGTCAGACTGTTATGGTCGGGAACAACCTTGATGTCTCAACAATTTACATTTGAAACAGTAAAAACTGTCCCCAAACTTGAGCTAGTCATGGAGCGAAGGACAGTGTGATTTGGGTGGGGCGGGGGGGGGGAAGCAGCCCGGAATGGGACGCGCGTACCTGCGTGGGGACTTGCAGATGTGCCCTGGAGAGAGGGAGGCCACCGATCGGGGCTGGCGCCCTTAATGAGCGGGTGCCTCCCCTGGCTGCTTTGGCACCAGTGCTGTTTACCTGGGGTAACTGAATCTGCCTCTTCACCAGTGTAGCATGACTTACCCGCGGTCAGTCGGTGCAGTGGAAGGGTTAGATTAGCCTTAGCGCTTAGATACTCCAATCCAGTAGTCTTTGAGAATACAGTTACTTTCCCCCACTACTCCTGATCAGAATCCCTCGGGATTTCTGAATTACCCAGTGTCCCCTAATGCACTAGCCAGCTCTGTCCTTCCCTACCGGGGCTGGAAAATGGGACCCACCAGTCCCATGGGACTGGCAACGGGAAACGCCCCTTGCTCCTCTATCCATCTCCAGGGCTTGCCCAGCAAACTGGGTTCTTGGCACCTCAGCTATTACCTCTGGTGCTGGAGCATATCTTACAGCTGAGCCCACCTGTAACTCCCAGCTTGTGGACCCGCCCACATCTGTCCTGGGCACTGCCTGGCAATCTTACCCATGTGCCCAGGTGGCCCCGCATTCCTTAGAGAAGCCATTTCCAAAGTCTGTCACCCCCAAGTCCCCTGCCTTCCATCTCTCCATCTCACTCGCAGCCCATTGCCTCGTCTCCTGCTCTAACGAGAAAACAGACGGCCGACAGGAAAGCTCTCTGATTCCCACCATCCCCTACCCTCTTGCCTGTATTTGCACCCACCGTTCCTTCCCCCTGACACCCGGAGGCGAACTCCTCACCAGGCTTCTGCTTTTGCACAACCGTTCCCGGCTGGGAAACCCTTACTCACTGGCTTTGCCCTCTGTGGCCTCTTCCTGCTCCTCTGGCTCTTTCCTGTTGGCCTTTGACGTGTTCCAACCCGTGTGCCATTTGGAAAAAAACCTGTCGGTGTCCTTGTTTGTTTTTCCTTTCCGAGACAACTTCCCGGAGGAGTTGCTCACTTCTGTCTTCACTTGCTCATCTCCCGCCACTGAAATCTGACAGAATGCCCAGCAAGTTCCCGGACTCTTCCCTCCTGTCCCAGCTCCACACCCTACGGACACTGTTCGGGCCTTATCTTAGCCATTTGCTGTTGACTTTGTTCTGAAAACTCTTCTTGCTTTATCTTCAAGACCTCTGTTTATTCTCCACCTCACCATCCTCCTGCAAGGCAATCCTGCCCCAAGGGTATAGGGATGATTACTACTCTCCACCATGCTCTTCTACTAGGTACCTGCCATGCTCTCTTTCGAGAACAACCTTCCTGCTCTTGTCTTTCTAGCCCACTCCTACTAACCTTTCAAGACACGACTCCAATAACTCCAGTGCACAGTGCCTCCAGGAAGAGCCTACCAGTCTCCAAACCAGGGAAGTATCCCTTGTTTGTGTACCCAGCGTGTACTTTGCAAACACTTAGCACTAGCTGGCTGCAGTTTCAGTTTGTGTTTTGTCTCCCCCCCCCCCCATCTGTAAACCTCTTTACAACACATATGCACAGAGCCTGGTGTGCGGTGGGCATTCCACAAAGCCGGCCCTGCAGAGTGGGGTCACAACTCACAGGAGTCCTACACTGGCCAGGGCCCTTCACCACAGCCTCCGAGGGCACCTTCCTCGACTTTTGGCAAACGGCCTTACCTCTGTGACCGCCTGCTCTCTTCCGCTTGCACGTTCTGGCAGATTTGGTCCCCTTCTCACGATGAGCACAGCGGGGTGAACGTTTGGGTGGGGGAGGTGGCTGCTGGTGGCAAAGAGAACTCGTGAGAAGCTAGTAGAGATGTGATCATATTATTTAAGGTCAGGCAAGACCCATGGATTCTGAAAAGACACCTTCACGTCCATCGTATATTTCCAATGAGATTGTAAGCTTGTGGAGGCCAGAGACCTCGCCTTCTGATTCTCGTTACTCCTAGGAATCTGGAGTGCATCAGTAACTAGTTCTTCAAAACCGGTCTTCTGTGTGCACCTGTCTATGCACATATCAGATTTTCAAGCCACCTCATTGTCCTGATGGCGCCTCCGCCTTCCCTTAAGCTTTGTACTTATGTCTGTCTTCCCCCCCGCTTTAAGTTCATGGCCACGTCTGTGCTATTGTTGCTGTGCCCTAGCATGTATCAGTGCCTGGCACATAGCTAGATAAATGTTTATTGATGCACTAAATCTGTACAGGACATACAGCATGTGTGCAAATACACACACAGGCACCGCCGTGTTCTGTGTCCATATGCGGTTGGCTGGTCGGTCAGTGGGAGGCATGAGGTCTCGGGCGACTGGACAAACTGACGAGTGAGTTCAGAGAGACAGAACTCTCATAGACTTGGGCGTTCTTTCTGGACTGGTTTAGGGGTGTCCAAAAACTACTCTAGAATGTCTGGAAACAGCCATTACACAAAACTCGGAAGAAATGCAAAGATTCATTGGTGCACATTACATTTACATGATTTATCAGGGGTGTCCAACCTTGTGGCGTCTCTGGGCCACATTGGAAGGAGAGTTGTTCTGGGCCACATGGTAAACATGTTGCAACATGTAATCACAAAAAAACTCATAATGTTTTAAGTAAATTTATGATTTGGTGTTGGGCCGTGTTCACAGCCATCCTGGGCTGCATGCAGCCTGCAGGCCGCAGGTGGGACACCCGGGAGACACTTCCCGTCAGTGCCCGGCTGGGCTCCGGGGCGTCTGTAAGGGAGACCGCCCCCTGCTGGTCCCAGCCTGCAGGTGCCTCGTGGGCAACCTAACGAAGAGGTCCTCTAGTTCAGAAAAATCCTACAGATTCTTCCCACCCCCAGATCACCTGGACTTTTCTGTCTCTCCTGGAGTTTGCAAAGAGTTCCCTTGCGTTTCCCACATAACACAAGCATGTTTCCCTAACCCTTAAGTATCCTTTAAGGTATGTATTTTGGGGGGTTCAGTTTTCTGTGGGTATCTTCCAGTTTTCGGAGACCTGCTGGGCAGAGTTGGAAGAGACGTCTGCACACATTCTCCTACTGGTGCAGGAGGGCTGCGCTCCTGGAGAAGGGGACCGCTGTTTGCTGACAGGGGCAGGAGGCACTCGCTGCAAGTTTACTCGCTTTAAACCACAGGTGGCGAATGCAAGGCCCGCAGGCCAAATCCCACCCTCCACCTTGTTTTACCCTGCCCGGCACCTTGTTTCTACCTGGCAGCGGCAGCAAGCTCCTTGCCCCTGGTTAAGGAGTAGTTACGTTTATACAGTCCTAACATTACATTCAGCCCTTTGAAGGCAATCGCGAGGCTGATGTGGTCCCCAGTGAAAATGAGTTTAACACCCCTGCAAACCATTTAATGTCCATGCACACTAAACTGGTTTATATTCACCGTCCTGGCCAGCAGGGGTCAGGCTCCTTCACGCTGTGTTCTCACCACAGCCCCCAAAACCCTGTGGGACGCTGGACTGAGCCCCGCCCCCACCGCCCTCCTTCCCGGGCTCCAGCCCCAGGGGCTCCCCTGCCTGACCTCCCCTCGAGCTTTACCAGGCATGCCCCGCTGCGGGGGACTTGGAATAGACTTTCCCCAGCTGTCGTCAGGGCCCGCTTAAATGCCAGGTCCTCAGAGATGGCTTCCCTGCCCCCGATCCCAAATAGCAGCCCCTTTACTCTCTAACCCCTTACCCTCTTATTTTTCTTCATGGGATGTACCACACGGACAGCACATTCTGCACACATGTGGTGTGTGCGTGCACATATATAGGGCGGGGCAAAAGGAGGTTTACAGTTGTGAGTATGCAAAACAGGGTTCACTCTTTTATTATTTATTAAGTATTGTGTTATTTTCCCATACAAACAACTATAAACCTCCTTTTGCCCCACCCTGCATGTACATATACATGTATGTGTGTATATGTACATATACCTATGTGCTGTATGATCAACCACAGGGCAAGTCTCTCTATCCTGTTTGCAGTTGCCTCGTTCTTTTTTTTTAAGATTTATTTATTTATTTATTTTTAGAGAGGGAAGGGAGGGAGAAAGAGAGAGAGAGAGAAACATCAATATGCGGTTGCTGGGGGCTGTGGCCTGCAACCCAGGCATGTGCCCTGACTGGGAATTGAACCTGCCATGCTTTGGTTCGCAGCCCGTGCTCAGTCCACTGAGCTATGCCAGCCAGGGTGGTTGCCTCGTTCTTAACTGTGCCCCGGCACCTGGACAGGCACCCACCACATTGCAGGTGCTAGATGAATACGGGGCAAACGCTTCTATTTTAGAAGCGAGCACTGAGGAGCACCATCAGACCTAAACGCACCCCTCCTGGAGTTCTGGGGAAGACAGGAGCTTTTGAGCCAGAGTCCTTGGGTCACCCCCACTGTGTCCTGTCCATCACTTCTTTGCACCAGTGCCTGGCGGCCAGACTGGAGGTGACCCCTGTGCTGCTCCTTGCTCCCCCAGGTGGAACTGAGGCGCCAGTGGGTCTCCCAGACTGTAGAGGAGGTGCAGAAAGCCATCTACCATCTGACCACCAAAATCAGCAACCGAGACATCCGATTCCAAGCCATCCCTTACTCCTTCACCTACAACGGGAACATTAAGGTGAGTGGGTCTCCCTTGTCTCTGGGTGCCCGTGCAGACAGCCCGGACAACTGGGGTGGCTGGGGCTCAGTGAGTGGCAGGCACTCACACTGGGAAGAATACTAATCATACTTCCTGTTCCCATGGGTGCTCGTAGTACTTGCCATTCGCAAACTCATTTGAGCTCTCGCACTCCTGCTTTCCTACCGATGATAAGAACCGAGACTTAGGGAAGTCAAATGACTTGATCGGTCTTAGCAGGCACCGAAGCCAGAACTCGCACGAGGCCCTTGACCCCAGAGCACATGCCACTATAATGATTAACGTTTAGTGAAGCACCTGCTCATTGATTAAGCAACTGCTTCATAGATTGGGCACTGGGCAGAGGGCACTTGGGGCATCATGGGGAATAGTTGAAAGTGATAATCTGTGGGTTGCAGGTGGGGGAAGGAAGAAAGCGGAAGAAGTAGCCTTGAGAAGTTACAGGAGCAGCCTGGGCCCCCTTCCCTGCTGAGGAGCCCCGCCGAGCTGTAAGCCACCAGAGCCGGCACATAACGACCAGCGTTCACGCAACACTGTGGGGCGGGCCACGCCGTTCTCGCAGAAACGGTCTCACTCAAACCTGCAAACAGCCTTGTGGGACAGACATTAGGTCTTTCCCCTTTTCGAGATAAGAGAAGTGAGGCTCGGAATCATTCTAGGTCCCCAGGCTCCTTTGTCTCGATTTTTCTCATGACACAGAACAACCCCTTTTGCTGGTGTCACACTTATGTGTGTTCACACCCCTTTTCTCACACCAGACTCAGCTCCTGGGCCATGTGTAAGGGTCATGTTTATGGATGGCTCCATTCCTCGCCCCCAGCAGGGTGGGTGGCCTGCGGGGGACACTCGGCTCCTGTTGAATGAATGCATGAGCAAAAAAAATTAGTACATGAGGAAAAGAGCATTGCCAGGCCAGTGCATTTCAAGATTGGTGGGCATAGCAAACACCCATAAGATTCTGGGACTTTCACATTTTGAAAGAGTGTTCGATCTCAGGACGTTCACCTCAGGATGAGAAGTGTAAAACAGACTGGATCCTGGAATGTCAGAACACCATCTGCCCACCTCTACCGCCCACCTCTAGTACCACCTGAGTTAGACAAAAGCAGACCACGGGCTGGGAATAGAAACATCACATCACTTTTCCTCGAACAATATCCCAGCAAACTTCCTCCTGGGAGAAAGCTTCTCCCCGCAAACATGAGGTGCCCTGTCAAGTTCCAGGCCTAGTTCCCTCCTTCCCCTTGCAGACTCATGAAACTGAGAGCTCAGTGAGTTAGTCGCCTGCTTGAAGCAGCACAGTGGGTGAGTGGCAGGACGAAGGTGGACCCTCTAGCCATGGGCAGGTGCATTTCCCTGTCTACTTGGTTGCTTCACTGAGGGTCGAGTGGTTCACGGAGCCACCTGGTGTAACAGGTCAGCCCCAGAGCACTTCTCTCACCTCCCTCTTAACTTTCCTGCCCCCAGGTTTTGGCGCCCAGCCAGTTCCTGGTCACAGTCCCAGTGAGAGGCCTGGCTGGGTACAGGGAGGCCCAGGAGCGCTGCTGGCGCTACTACACGCTGCAGGGCACCAGGCTGCCCTGCCCCCTGCCGGGCCCAGATGGCCTGCAGCAGTGGCTGGAGGTGCGGCAGTTCCCTAGGAGCCTGTGGCTGTGGCACGAGGCAGACGTGAACATCGAGGGGGACCTTGTGCCTGCCAAGGTCCTCCAGGTGTTCCGGACGCTGGTAGAAGATGCCATTGAAGCCTGTCACCTGTCAGGTGAGTGGACCAAGAAAAGGACAAGGGAGATTTCAGGCACTTTCATTTTGCTCACTCAAACCTCTGCTAGGGTGTCACCTGAAGCTCAGGCCCCTAAATTGAGACAACAGTCATGTACTCTTTGACCTGCCCCATCCTGTGACACGAACCAGCCCCATCCCTGTGACACGAACCAGCCCTCTTTGTGCTGTCACACACAGGAGGCTGGAAGTCACACCACACCGACACACTCCTGTGGATTTCAGTGGTCCCTGCCCTGGCATGGATAGGATGGGCTTTGGGCTATGCAGCCTTTCCAAGACGTCAGCTTAAAAAACTTGGGCACTTTTTAAAAAGCACAGTCTTCACAAACCCTCGGATCTTTGTGATTAACACATTGTATGCGGGAAACTTATTTGTACGTTTTACATTGACTGGTAGTAGAGCGCGTGATAAAAACTACCCGCAAACAATGTGTTAAGCATGTTTCTGCTACAATACTTGGCAACCAACCACAGTGCCCCAGTGGGTTGAGACAGCACATGTGGAAACCGCTGATTTTTACCAAAACACAAAACCCAGAAGCCATGGAGAACTGAATCCAACAACCCCAAGATCTTAAGTCACAGTACTGTGTGGCTCATGCACACACACACATACACACACGCATGCATTTTGTTCACCCAGAGTAAAAAGGTGAATTTCCAGCTGGAAAAAATGGCTGATTCCCTCAACTGGGCAAGAGTACTTACAAACCAATAAGAAAAAGCATATAAGCAGATCAATAGAAATAATGGCAAAAAAAAAGCCATAACTCACAAAAAAAGATTATAAAGGGCTAGTAAAAATAAGAAAAAGTGTCCCATCTAATATGTATTTTGAGAAATGTGCCTGAAGCACCTAACAGATTGGCAGACGTGAAAACGTCCAATCACACTCAGTGCAGGGGCGGGCGTGGTGAGACACATTTTCTTGGAAGTGCACATTGGTTCCTACTTTTTAAAGGGCAATTTGTCCACTTTTATTTTTATAATGTGATGACTTGGCAGTGCAGTAGCTCCGGTTCTAGAAATAGATTCCTGCGGATCCCCGAAAAAATACACACAGGGACACCCACTGCCGCAGGCTCTGCAACAGCCAGTAGCTAGAAAGGATTGACGTGGAAACAGGAAAACTGACTCGGGAAACCCCGCGGCATCAGCCTGGTGGACGACTATGCAGCCTTTAAAAAGGATGAGGTATGTGTGTGTGGGTGTGCACACACAGTTATGGAAAAGGCTGGCGCTAGATAAGGAGGTGGAAAACCGAAGTGCTGAGCAACACGCAATTGCATTTGTGCAGAAAGAAATGGATTTCATTGCACATTTCCTGTGCGGCCAGAACAGTCTGCAGGCTGCCATCATGGAGCTAGCTCGTGTTTAACAGTTGTTACCGTGGACAGGCGCTTCCGCGGATTATTTAATTCCATACTCGTTGCATGCCTATAGAGCAGGAATGATTTTTCTATCTGTTTTACAAATGAAAAGATGAGATTTAGAGAAATGAAGTTCCGTGCCGAAGGTCACGCAGAAGTGAGCGGAGCGAGGAGCCTCGGGAGCCGGGTGGGGGCCGGGCGGGCTGGGTCCGGCACTGGCTGGCTTGTCGCTTCGCAACACTGTCAGCGGTGACAGTGAACAAGAGATTCAAACTGGGCCGGTTGGGGAGGCGCCGTCAGTGTTCACGCTGAAGTGCCAGACGCCGGCCTGCTCCCGGCTGGACGGCCCTGGCGAGGGGCAGACAGTACTCTTTAACACACCCGCGCCAAGGACAGAAGGATGTTCTGTTTTGAACAGCCGAGCACAGTGAACGAGGGGGCCTCCGTTCTCTTCTCTGAGCAGGGAGACACAGAATAGTATAGTGGATCCCTGTCCAAGAGGGCTCACCCTTGTCTGTGATGAAGGCGAACAAGCACACAAAAAAAGACTGTATCTTCTGAAAGAAGGAGGAACACTTAGAAACGGGTGCTAGTATACGAGCGGGAAATCTTTACCAAACGTGTTCCTTCTCTCTCCCTCTCTTTACCCGGTTGGAAAAGACGGTGTGAGGGCTTCCTTCTGCTCGCTCGACTCCTTGAGCCAGAGCCCCACTGGGAAACACTTTGTGATGAGAAATGCACCGGAGGCCAGGCAGGCCTGATGGGTGGTAGGAGCAAACGCCGGCTGAGCGCCCGTGACTCAGATAGGAGATGGGTTAAACTGAATGCCACCGAAGGCTGATGACTAAGTGAGGGGACCAAAGCCGTGACAAACAAGGGGGACTTGGGGGGGGGGGGGGGGTGTGAATGGTTGGGTTTCATTTTGCAACAGCAAATACTCTACCTTTTTTTTGGTATTCAGCGTCTCTTCCTTTCAGCTGAGCTTTCTGAAAAATAATCTGTTAATTTAAAAGGAAAGGTACCATAACAACCTTGGGGGGAGGGAGGAGAAAGATAAAAGAAAAACCCAGCCACCGTGAGATTTTTCTAGCAATGCTTCTATCAATATTTATTTGGCTATTGTCCAGTCTTGATATAAATACCATCCCCTCCCCCACCCCCGTGTGCTATTAACACTGCGAAAGTGCCCCCCCCCCAGTTACAAGTTGCTGATCAGAGCCACTGTCCCCACATCCCCTCTTTGAATGCTGTTTCTGAGCCTGTTCGTCATTTCCCACCAGGAAAGGTCAGCATGCTAACAAACGGCACTGCAGTTTGGGTTGCCATGGAAACATCCAGCGGTCCGGTGGAGATAGAGCTGGTCCCCGCAGTGGAGATCCCCACCGCCTGGTCCAAGAAAGCCCGGTGGCCTCGGTGTCTGACGCGCTGGCCCTCCCCAGAGAGAGTGAAGTGCATCAAGGTACGGGCAGGCAGGGCCCCGGACCCCCAGGACACCGACCTCACAGCTCAGCCTCGGGGGCAGGAAGCAAGATCCGCGGTTCTCAAAGTGTGGGCCGCAGAACCGGCCGTGGCCCCTGCAACCCTGTTGGACGTGCGGCTGCCTGGGCCGCGCTCTGAACCTGCTGAAGGAGGCTCCGTGGGCAGAGCCCGGCCATCTGGCTTTAGCGAGCCCACCAGGTTGCTTGTTAGCTGCCCACGCACAGCGGGGCTCGGGGGCTCGTCCTGAGGCTCCCTCCTCGCCCCGCAGGCGTCACTGCCTGCCGGGGGGCCGGTCCCCCAGACTGGTGGGCTGCTTCCCAGACGGCATCCACGCCGGCAAGCGTCATCCGGCTCAGTGACCCGCTGTCTTCCCTTGCAGTCGTTTGGATTCACGCTGTTGGCCCGTTTGAATTACCACTGGCAGCTGAGCTTCTCGCAGGCCGAGCGGGTGCTGCTGGAGCAGCTGGACGAAGACGGGGGCTGCCGCCGGCAGTGTTTCCGGGCGCTGCGGCAGCTGAAGGAGGACGTCTGGTGTCCGGGGAACAGGCCGGTGCTCACGTCCCACCACCTGCAGGTGAGCGCGCGGCCGCCGCGGCTCCGGTCGGTGGGCCCGCTGCGGCTTCCGTAGGTCCGGGCCACAGCCACTGGCTGGCAAGGGGCCTGGGTGTGCCCGTGATGCGCTCCGGCTGGGTCTCCGGAGTCCGCATTTGCCATCCCGCAGAGCACGTATTACTCTTTACGGAGCGAGGCAACCCGCTGGATGTGCGGCCGCAGCACTCCTGGCTGGCAGGGCAAACTTCCGCGCCTCTCTCCCTTCCCAATCGCCCCTCTCCCTGTTCTCGCGTCTTCTTTTTTCTGCCTCTCTCTCTCTCCCTCCTTTTATTTTACTCAACAAGCCGACACCAGTGCCCACACCGTGTGCCAGAAACCCTGATGAGCTTTAGAAATGACTTCAGCACGTGGCCTCTGCCCTTGAGAAGTCCACAGTCCCCTGGGATCTTGCAAGTTGCCCAAACCTCAGATAAACTCATGGTTTTCCTTGGGTCAGGACTCAGTCCGCACTCGAGTCCAAGTGTAGCCGCTCACGCACGCACATGCGCACACGCTCCGCACCGAGGAGGAAACCGAGAGTGTCGCCGTAAACCCGAACGTCTGGGTTCCGGCCCCCAGCCTGGATCGGCCCTCGCTCTGCCAGCACCCGCCTCCTCCGGCCCCAAACCCAACCCTGCCCGTTCACGAACACGCTCACTCCCTCAGCAACCGCTCGTTGAGGTTAGACACCACGAGCCTGACACTGGCCCCCGCACCTGCTGTGCGCGCTGCAACTGGAGGTCCGTGGGGAGCAAACAGACCCGGGTCCTGCTCTCACGGAGCTCACGGTCCAGCAGGGGAGACAGACGTGGAGCACACCGTTTTGCAGGTGCGCGTGGAATCCCGCGGTGCAGGGAGCACGAGGGAGAAGAAGGATGTTGCTCCGTGAGAGTTTAGGGCAGCAGAACCCAACCTGGACCGGGCACCCAGGGCCCTGGTCTTGGAGAGGCGGCCTTTGATCAAACTCTCTGCTCCTCCTCCTCAAGTTTCTGACCCATGGCGAACTGGGTGCTCCTGGAATGTCCCCTGCAGCACACTAGGTCGGGGTGGCAGGGGTCGGACTCCTCACGACAGCGTAGCCCCAGTCTAGCTAGTATCTGTCGGGAGTTTCAGCCCTGCTCCCTGACCTGCTACGATGCACAGGTCCCTGGGCCAGTAGCCCATGTGGTGCCTTCCTTGCATGCTCCTCCTACCTGTGGCTCCTCTCCCTCCCTGGACAACCGTTTTCCAGCCCTGTGTTACCCTCAGCTCTAATGTAATCTTTTTAAGGACAAATACCCTGTTGGTCTTATCATCGCTGCACCCTACTACCTCTCTTGCTGCTTTGTACCTCGTAGTTGCCTGGTAAATATTTGTTGTCAAATGAATGAATGACTGCACACTTTATCAACTTTGTTTGCCCCTCATAAAACCACTAGCCTTTGCTTTTTTATCCTTTCTGATCATCTGTCTGCTTGAGAATCTAGTAGCATCTCATTGGCACATACTGGGACATTTCTCTGAAGTTTCTACATGTCCCTAGGAACACACGCCTGTTCTGGGTCAAGGGCAAGTGCTTTCTGAAGGGTGTCTAATTTGTTTACTGAAGTTTGCTTCTCCCTTGCTGGTCTTTCTACACGAGGAAGAGTTAGAGCTGAGAGGCAAACTCCACTCTGTCTCATTGCAAAACCTCATCATCGTAACCAGTGACATCACTGCCTCACAGTTAGGATGGATGGGACACTCTGAGTGGCATGGATATTTTAGGCAAGGCTGAATAGGGCCACCATGGGCCCCCAGGCCCCAGCTGCTCTCAAAACTGCATTCTACCGGTGGGTCCCTTTCATTCCAGCTGCGTCTAAGTCGTCTTGAGAGTTTCAGGGCAACTCCCTAAAGGTTCTCTGCTTCCCTCCTCCCTAACCCACGCACACAGCCCAGTAAAATGGTGCATTCTCAAGGCTGGGCATTTAGAAGGGACTTGTGTGCTGAGAAGGGTGGGACAAGCAGAAGCAGAACAGCCTTCTCCTCCAGCCTCTCCCGCGCGGTCAGAGAGCGGGTCCTCTCCCAGGCGGGCAATGGGGTGGACGTGGCTGGTAACAGTGTGGGGCCATCCCTGATGATGGCTGGAGTGCGCAGGGCCTCGGCCGAGGCTTTGGTCTGGGAGAGGTGGGAGAGTTTGGGTTGCAGAGCAGCCTGCCGTGGCCCCTCACCCCCCAGCTGACACCGTGCTGTAGGGCCCTCACCTCCTCCCGGACAGGCCTCCCCCAGAGCGATCTCACCAGGAACGAGAGATCACCTGTGTCTTTCAAAAACAAGTTTGTTATAATGTTTAATTCAATTTTTTATTTATTTATATTTAGATACTTGTTTTTTGTATTATAAAGGAGTTTTATTATTTATACTTGAACATAGGAAGGTCTAAGAAATGTTATGTAACAAATGATTACAAAACACAAGAATAGGTACAAGGTATTTCAGGGACTACCCATGTATAAGGTGCATTCTTATTTTTACCTAGAAATTTTGGACAAAAAAGGGCGCATTATGCACGCCAAAATGCGGCATTTCTAAAGCCCACTCAGGGCCTCAGGGCCTTGACTGTAATAGGCTTCACGGCTTCAGTTTCCTTGGTTAACTGAAAGAGCGGAGTTGATAATACATTGTGGTTTTGCATCTAGGTTATCTTGACTAGAATGAAATGATCTCCAGCGCTTCTGCTCCGAACAATTTAATCTAAAAACATATTCAGTATCTTGCTGTGGGCCTGAAAATGTTCTTTTTCTCTTTAGTAAAGACTGTATTTTTAAACCTGCTCAACCTCGACCAGGGGTGTCCAACCTTTGGCGGTTGGGCGTCCCCGCCCCACCCTGGGAGAGGAAGAGTTGTCTGGGGCCGCACATTCAATACATTGCGACACATAATGACAAAGAAATCTCACAATGTTTTAAGTAAATGTATGGTTTTCCGTTGGGCCGCGTTCACAGCCGTCCTGGGCTGCGCGAGGCCCGCGGGCCGCAGGTTGGACTTACCTGGTTAGTCCTTATTTCACTCCAGCGGTAAATGCGTACGGAGCGCCCGCCGGTGCGGGGCGGTCCCTCCGCTGAGTGCCAGGGACCGACGTGGCAGCGAACGAAAACGGGCCTGGTCCTCAGCTCTCGCGGAGCTGGCAGGCAGCCTGTGGTCGCGTAAATAAATGTGAAAATGGTTGCTCCGGTGCTCACTGCCGCTCGTGAGAAATAAACGGCAAAGAGGATGTTTAATGGCTGCCAAGGGACCTAGGACCTGAAGAATGAGTTTCAGGACGGAGGGGAGGAGGAGGCTGGTCGGGCACAGCAGTGCGGCTGGGAGAGGCCCCGAGATGGGAGAGGGCGTGACATGAGGCCGGGTGGCCAGCAGGAGGAGCCAGTGAGGCTGGAGAGGAGGGGTGGGACCGAGCCTGGTAAACCACACAACTTAAGACGTGTGTGTCTAATTAACACACAATGGGGAGACTTGGGGGTACATTAGATAAGCAGAAATTTAGATTTATATTTCCAAAACAGCACGTTGTCTTCCATGGGGATGGTGACAGATTAGAAAGTGGCAAAAACAGGCGCAGGCTGCGTGGACAGCTGTTGCAGCGGACAGGGTGGGGTGGGGTGGGAGCTGGCAGGGATGTCCGAGATGAAGGTAAGTGGGTAGATTTGAGAACTACTGGGTCGGCCAAAGAATCTATTTAGTTTCTTTCTGTAAAATAAAGGACACATTATTCATTTTCACCAATAACTTTGTTGATTTGGATACTGAGTATGTTGGCTATCTCCCGCTATTGGATTCTAGTGGGCAGAGGCCAGGGGTGCTGCTGAACACCTCCCAATGCATAGGACAGCCCCCCAACAAAGAATTATTTGGCCAAAATGTCAATAGTATCAAGAAACTTTGCAAACCACTTTTGACACATTTGATCAGTCACAGCACCTTCTCCATACACTGTACAGATCTTTTAAAATTTTTTAATAAGAATTATTTTATTTAAAAAAAAGATTTTATTTATTTTTTAGAGAGCGGGGAAGGGAAGGAGAAAGACAGGGAGAGAAACATTAATGTGTGATTGCCCCTCACACACCCCCAACTGGGGATCTGGCCCCCACCCCAGGCATGTGCCCTGACTGGGAATCGAACCAGCAACCCTTTGGTTTGCAGGCCAGTGCTCAATCTACTGAGCTACACCAGCCAGGGCACACATTTTTTTTTTGGCATTTCAGTTGTGTTTTTAACTTTTTTGAAATAATAAAGCATAGTATGATGAAAATGTTGCATATTTTCTTCCATCTTCAATATAATAATGGCTGCACAAAAATTCACCTATTTTGATAAGTTTTTTGAAACGCACGCTGATATGACAGCTGTCACAATACAGTCTAACAGAATTGTTTCAAGTGAAGTGAAAGACAACTAAGCACTACTAGACCCGCTGTACCGAGAGAACTGAACAAACTTTTCAGCCAACTCAATACTTGCGCAGGAGGATGGGCAGGATTAACTGGGGCTGGTGAGGGAGGGGAGGACGCCTGAGTTTGCCCAGCTGCTGGATGAGCAACGGGGGAGGCTGACCGGTTTTGGGGGAAGGCTGTGGTTCAGTTTGGACATGCTGACTTTTGGGTTTTCAAGGAATACCAGGAAAAAAGTCAGTGGAGAAGCCTGGGCTGGTGAAAGAGAACTGAGAGTCACAGTATCTCGCGGAAGTTAAAGCCACTGCTGTGGAAGGCAGACAGTGTAAGAGGGCCTGGGGCGGAGAAACGCCAACCTGTAAAGGCGGGTAAAGGAGGAGGAGAAGCCTGCCAGGGAGCAGCTGTAGTGCTGGAGAAACCCAGAGAGTGTGTGGGCTTGGAAGCCAAGGGCAGCTGAACTCAAGAGGGAGGACGTGGAGGAGAGAATCAGAGTCTGCTGGATGGCCTGGCCGAGTGCAGGCTGGACGAGGCTGTTGGGTCTAGCAACACGCAGCTCGCTGGGCCTTCAGCAGAGCAGCGTTTGAGCGCTGACGGCAGAAGAGTCCCTACTGGGCTGGGCTGAGGGGGGGAGGCGGAGCAGAGGAGGTGATGAGGGAGAATTGAGAGGGCTGCTCGGAGAAACCTGGATTGGCAAGGGTGGGAGTTAGGGGGGAAGGAGATGTGGGGCTGGGGGAGCTTTGAGAAGGTTTAAAAGCCAATGAGAAAGAGGGAGACGATCATACATGGTTTCTGGAAGGAGAGAGGATTCGGCTGCTAGGAGGCGTGGCGGTTGCAGAGAGGCAGAGAGGCAGAGAGGAGGGTGGCCGTGTGGGCAGAGCTGTCTGGTCTGTGGGCACCAGGACTTCCATTTTCCCTGTAAAGCAGAGGCAAAGGCACGTGCTGGGGGTGGGGAATCAGCTTCAAGAAGAGCCGTGATTGTTAGAAACCTCAGTGGAGAGCGAATGAATGAACAGAGAGACGTAGGAGACCAGCAGGACGAGGTTGAGAGCACTCAAGGCCGGGGAGCAGGCACTGAGGGCAGAACCAGCCTTCCTGGGTGACCCTCTCCTGCCCCTTGCAAGGTCACGTGAGCTCGGTGCTCCTGAGGATACTCTCCCCAGCCGCCTCCATGAACTCTGACCCCGCCTCTTCCTCCCGCAGACAGTGCTCTTTTGGACCTGTGAGAAGTATCCCCACTCGAAGGACTGGCAGGTCCTCAGCAAAGGGCTCCTGCGCCTGGCGAAGAAGCTGCACAGGTGCGTGAGCCAGCGCTTTCTGAAGCACTTTTTCGTGCAACGCTGCAACCTCCTGCAGCATGCCGATGTGGCCGAACTGGACGCGGTGGCCCGGAAACTGGCCTTCTTCCTCAAACACCCCCAGATCAGCCTGCCCTGAGGCTGCGCCAGCCCGGCGGCTCTCGGACACTCCGTCCGGCTCGACCTCTGGGCTGTTCGGGTCAGATGCCGGGTTCCCGCCCGGGACAGAGGCTACCACGGCGGAGGGATTCACGTCGGCCCAGGAGCGGGAAAAGCGGCGCCCTCAGGTATCTGCGTGGCCTCCCGGGGCCGAGCAGGCGTTTCAGCCCTCGCTACCTACCTCTCTCGGGGACAGCTCTCATCAGGCCTCCCCAAGCCACAGACTGCAAACCGATGACATTTCTGAGTTTATTTTCCCCTGCCCAGGTGCTGACGGGGAGGATGGAGACAGAACCCTGGGGGGCCGGGCATCAGCCCGAGGCCCAGCGGTGGTCCTCCAGCCCGCCGACCACGGGTTCGCCGTTTTTCCGTTTGTAAAATGGGACTGTTAAGGTGCCTCCCTGCAGGCAGGGCTGTGCGCCCGAGCTGCCGCCCTTTCCAGGAGAAGGCATGGGACGAACACAAGCGCTGCTGGTTGGTCAGCGGCCAGTTTGCATCCCGGATCAGCACCTAACCACTGATTAAATAAATGATGGCTTCTGACGTGTTAGCACACGTGTCTTTCCCGCCAGGTCCCCTGGGCGGTGGTGCGAGGCTTGGGGCTCTGCCTGCTTCGCTGGCGTCCCCTCCGTAGGGAAAGGGAGGTTTAGATGATGGGGGCCGGTCAGACGTCAGGGCAGCTCTGCCCGCCCCCCTGCTCCCAGCCGCTGGCCTCTCCTGGCTCCGCACACCGTGACTCCGGGTGGGGACGCCCTGACTTCATGAAGGAGCTCGTTGCTGTGGCCTGCACGGATGACTTGGGTGCCACTCACCTCTCAGCACCTTCCTCGGCTCACTACATCCACCCCCTCGTTCACTGATAAATGCGTGCTCTGTGGGCGCTGGGAGTCGGCTGAGAGCGACTTCCCTGATGGATGATGCCTCGTGGTGCAGACGGGAAATGAACAGCAGGTACGTAAACACGGTTGTTGTAAACTATAGCAGCTGCCCCGGAGAAATAAACAGACCCTAAACGGAGCCACAGAGAGATCCTCGAAGGATGAAGATGCAAACGGCAGGAGGCCAAGGAAAGGGAGCCAAGGTCAGACTTGGAGGGGCCGCAGCAGTCAGGTCACTCGGCCCTGGGAGGCTAGCTGGTAAGGAATTTGCATTTTTTCTAAAATCAAAGGCATGGTATCATGGCCTCTCCCAGTATCATGCTCTCAGCTGCATTTTACATACATGCCCACCCTCGTGTCTGCACAGAGAGGGGCCGGGGCTCCCACGAGGGGGGCTGGGGGTGCAGAAGGCTCTCCAGCCCCGCGCTGTGAACTCCCCTGTGGTCAAGGCCCCCAGCCCGACATCAGCCAGGAGCTGCCGGAGTGTGGAGTGCTGGGCGAGGCCAGCGGCTTCTCCACTCAAGGGGACCCTCTGTCACTTAGAACACGCTCCCCAACTATGTCACCGTGAAACTCCCCAAAGCATGCACTACTGATTTTGTAAAATAAAAAGTCACATTTGAAAATGAAAACATTACTTTTACAAAAACACTGTAGCCAAATGGTGGGGTCCCTGGGCTATCACACAGGAAGTCATGGTTTTGAAATGTTGAAAAACAAAAATCTTCCTAAGCATACAATAAGTTTAAAATTTTGAAAACATGGATGGATGAGGAACCCAATGTTTTATTAAATCATCAACACTTGCATTCGAATTCTCATATTCTTAGATCTTGGGAAATATTTTTGAGAAGGTGGTGAATAATAGTGAGTTTTCAAAATTTTAATGATGAAAAGAGCTGAAGCAAATTTCAGAATAGCTCTGAAGTTGCAGAATGTCAAAATGTGTAAATTGACTGTAACATTAATTCACAATGTGTGCGTGTGTTTGGAGAGGGGCGGGACGGGCACACTCCAGTCGGACTGAGGTAGATTCTTCCCACCTTTCCCTGCAGATCTGTGGTTTTTGGAGTAGGGCTGTCTGGAAATTCCTGAGTGTTCCCAGTACTGACCAGCAGAGAGCAGTAGAGGACCACACATGAAAATAGTCCGGCTCCTACCCAGTTCCTTTTCAGCCCAGCAGGTGTCGTCCTCCCCAGCCTGTAACTTCACCTGGCTTCAAAACAAACAAACAAACAAACAAACAAAACCCCAAAACAAAAAACAACGGGATTCAGGGTCAGAGGATTCCAGCTGATGCTAAATTGTTTACCTTTCCCGTCATTTGGGCCAAAATTCACAGTCGTTCTGCTTATAGCTCAGATTAAAAAAAGGAGCCTAAGCAAGTATTCCCTATCCTGGGGTCTGTGGAATATTGGGTTCATAGTTTTGAAAAGCCTGATAATATTATTCCTCTATGATGGTCAGCTTTTTTTTTAATTCTCCAAAAGGTCTTTTCTAACCATTTACAATCTTCTAGGCACGGGGCTGCTTTATAGACTCTTGAGTAGAATGCATGGTATCAGCCCCAGGAACGGACCTGCTCATGTGTTAGCAAGCTGTTCAGCTTCCTAGCTCCTAATCTCTGTTTCTTTGTGGACACCGGTACGGGCTGAATTGTATCCTTCTAAATTCCCGTGTCGAAGCCCCAATGCCCAATACGTCAGAATGTGACTGTTTTGGAGACAGGCTCTTCAAAGAGGTAGTGGCGTCAAGATGAGGCTGTTGGAGGTGGGGGTGGTGGTGCCCGCATCAACAGGACAGGTGTCCCTGAAAGTAGAGGAAGAGAGGTCATGGGCAGGTGTGCAAGGACAAAAGGCCGTCTGCAAGCCCAAGGAGAGAGGCCTCAGGAGAAACCAACCCTGCTGGCACCTTGACCTTGGCTTTCCAGGCTCCAGAGCTATGAGAAAATAGTTGTCTGTTGTTTCAGCCACGCAGTCGGGGGTACTTTGTTATGGTGCCCCTGGGAGACTGCTGCAGGCTTCGTGAGAGAATCCGCACCTCCTCCCTGTGATGGAGAGAATAAATGGAATATTATTCTCTCTGTGATAAGTGATGGATGCAAAAGACTCTTTGTTTAGTTGAGTAAGTGTTTGGTATTTTAGATGCCTGTCCCTCGTGGCCATCCATCCATCTCTGCTGTTCCTGATAACTACTCCACCCACAGGTAAGTCCTTCGTGAAGAAGTTAGACACCGTCACAGGGAAAACACACACAACACGCCATCACCACAAATTCCAGAAACCCCTCCTTTCCTCTCTCCCTCTCACTACCGTGGAGGGAGCGCGTCTCCCGACTTCTCTGCCTGTGATGGGCTGACACCTCGAGCCTCTCGGGGCCACGTTCCCTTGACTTCCGTAGTGTCCGCCGCCGCCGCCGCCCCAGCTCCCTGCCTCTCTGCCCCTCCAGTCTCTTGAGCTATTATTACACACGCGTCCCCACTTCCTCAGCTCTTCACGCTTCTGTTTATGGTGAAAGCTCAAACAGGAGAGAGTCTGAGCTGTTTAAAGAAAAGCAATAAACACAAACGTGCTCACCAGGTGGGAAAAATAGCTCATTGCCAGAACTTCAGGTTTCTCCTAGGTGCCCCCTCCGTTCCCTGGCACCTCCCTTCCTGACACAGGGAACCTCAATCCCAAATCTCGTGTACGTCATTTTGCTTCTTTTTTCAGTTTTACTGCCTACCGTATTTCAGTAACTGTAAGCCCCCAGCAATTGTAAGATGCACCACTATTTCCTGTCTAAGAAAAGAAGGGTGCTACTAAATGTAATTGCCAGGCACCATCGATTATGAGACGCATCCCGATTTTAGATGAAAATGTGAAAGGTGTATTTTAGTATCAACAAAATAGGACCCGTGTCATCCCAATGTCTTTTTAGTTTTGCCTGGTTTTGAGCTTTGAGTAAATTGAATCGTACTGATGAAGTCTTCTTTGATTTGCTCCTTCTGTCTAGTCTGCATTTTATACTCTCCCACATGGATGCCTGTGGTGGTGGCGTGTTCCTTTTCACTGCTGTGTAATATTCCACTGTGAGATCACACCACTTTATATATTTATGTTACTCTAATTGGGCATTTCGATTGTTTCTAGCTTTAGTGATTTTTTGTTTGTTTGTTTGTTTAGCTTGAGTGATTTGAGCTGTTTCAATACACATTCATTCTTATATATGTCTTCTGATGCACTCAAGGTTTTTAAGGGAATATACATAAGAGTGAAATTTTAGGTTCAAAGAATATATGCATCTTTCAATTTACAAAGTAATGTCAACATATTTTCTGAAGTGATTCGCCTTTTTTATGTAGGTGGATTTGTGGTGACCTTCCCCACTGCAAACGGAATACATTTCGTGTCTTTTTCAAATATCCTTCTCTTTTCTTTGGGTCATGGGGACATGATCCCATACTGTCTCCTGAAATGTTATGGTTGTGCCTTTCACCAGAGATAGGAAGTGCCCTGTTTTTCTGCTCCAAAAATGTCAGAATAATCTCTCTGTTTGAAAGCTTGGTAACACTCGTGTATACTTGGACCTTGGATTTTCTTTGTCAGAAGATTTTAAACTGTTAATTCATTTTCTCTTAGGGATAAAGGATGCTCTAGTTTCCTGTTTCTTCTTGAGCAGGTATTATTAATCTCTATTTTTCTAGGAATTTATCCATTTCATGTAGGTTTTCAAATTTACTGGCATAAAATGTTCATGATGTTTTATTATTAATTTAAATTCGGTTCATGTTTTATTATTATCGATTTAAATAATAATAAAATGTTTTATTATTTATAATATTTTAGCATTATCTATTCATGTTTGATTATTATCCATTTAAATTCTGATGCATCTGTATGCATCTTTCTTGATAAATCTTTTAGACGCTTACCAAAGAAGCACTTGTTTTATTGATCATTACATGTATTTATCTTCTATTTCATTAGTTTCTATTTATATCTTTGGCCTTTTCCCTCTACTTTCTTTAGGTTTATGCTGGTATTCTTTTTTATATAACTGCTTAAATGCTTAGCTCAAACATTTTCAGCCTTTTTTGTTTCCTAAGTATGTAGCCTTCCTATTAATACCATTTTTATGGACTCCCACAGGTTTTGGTGTATTGTATTTTCATCTCTCAGTTCTATTCATTTTCTAATTTCTACCATTTTCCTTTTTTGACCCAGGAGGGGCTCCAAATATATTTTTTAACAAGTATATTGGGTTTCTTAGTTATGTTTTTGCTTTTTTTTAAGATTTCATTTATTTATTTTTAGAGAGGGAAGGGAGGGAGAGAGAGAGAGAGAGAGAGAGAGAGAGAGAGACATCAATGTGCAGTTGCTGGGGGTCATGGCCTGCAACCCAGGCATGTACCCTGACTGGGAATCGAACCTGCGACACTTTGGTTCACAAGCCCACACTCAATCCACTGAGCTACGCCAGCCAGGGCTTTGCTTTTGGTTTTTAACTCAATTGCACCGTAGTCAGAGGAAGTGGCCTGAAAAGGCCCATCCTTAGGTATTTGTTGAGGCCAGTTTTTCATGTAGCACTTCTGCACCGCGCTCTGCGTGTACGAAGGGACCGCAAATGTAATGCACTGAGCCTCACCTGCCAGGGCTCGGGTGTGCAGATACAGAGTCCAGCACCTATCCACTGGACCATGCACTCCTCGGATTTCTGTAAGTCACAGGTTCCCTTATGGCTGCATTTCCCAACATCTACGGAGAGAGGGTTGTTTTAAGACGTTCTCTGTGTCGTGCCAGCAAACACTGACTTACCGTGCTTGGAGGCTATATTATTAGGGGCACACAGGTTCAGAATGTTTATGTCCTCCCACTTAACTGAGGCTTTTCTCATTATAAGGTGACCTGTTTCAACCACTGTAAACATTTTGCTGAAACACTGACTTTTTTTCTGGCAGTAACACAGTGACCCCACTTGCGCTGCTTGGCTAGTGTATCTTTTTCCAGTCCCTTCCCTTTCAGTCAACTTGTATCTTCATGTGGCTGATGACTGTGTCTCCTGTAAACACAGCTAATCTTCTAAAACACCCCGCCTGAAGCTGAGGTCGTGGACTCCAAAGACCGGTGCACTGGCGTCTCTTCTGACAGACCACGCGCTTGGATTTGCTGCCACGCTGTCGTCATTCACTGCCCATGTGACCCCTGTTGCAAGTCTTCCTCCGCCTCTTGCCCCACCTTCCTGCCTTTTAAAAAATTAGTGTGCTTTCTTCCGCTTTTTCATTCATTCCCCGCCGCACCCCCCTACCCCCCACTAGTCTGGAAGACTTGTATCTAGTCTCTGTCTTCCTAATGGTTACCAGGGCTGTTTGCACATACGGACCAACTTGTATAGACTGAAGTCAAATGTCAACTGATGACCTTCATCCTCTGCTTTGAAAGGGGCCTGGAAGGCTTGGCCCCTACCACTCCCCTCTGAGGTTTCCTGCCATTGTGATTCAGGATTATGGTTCCAGCCTGTTTGCCAGCTACACACACACACACACACACACACACACGTATATAAAGTGGATATTGTTATTTTGTAAAGTTCTTATTTCCTTATTTTATCTACAGATCTGGTATGTGCACTACCACTCTTTCTTGAATCTCAAACCTTCTGCCAGGCATCAGTGTCCATCCCCTCCTGCCCGGGCCCTGTGCCCTGGCGTGTCCCACCGCGGGTGTGCAAGAGTCGGTCTGTGTCTGTCTGTGGGAGATTGTCCTTGTTCACCCTCAGTCTTGGAAGACGGTTTCTCTGAGCGTTCGCCTGTGTGTTCACAACCGTCTTCTCACCACACTGAAGATGTTTTTCCACTGGCTTCTGGCTTCCATTTTTTGCTGTCTACTCGTTAAACATGGGACTCTGTGTGGTTTCTTGGTAGGGCGTCTGCTTTTCTCTCGGACCACTTTCTGTTTCTCTTTCTCTTCCTCCTCCTCTCTGTCTCTGCCTCTCTCCCCCTTTCCTCTTCTCTGCCCACCCCCAGCCTCTTAGGCTTCCAGTATTCCTGGAAAATTATCAGCATTTAACGTGGAATGTTGCCCATTCTCTCTATATTTTATTCTAGAAGGAAATCAAATTTAGGTGTATAGTAGATTCAATCATTCTAGCCTCTATATCTTTTTAACTTCTCTTTTAAAATATGTATCTTCTTATCACTCAAACCTGCATTCTCACTAATCTATGTGGTCCTATCTCCCAGTTGACCAATTCCTTCTTCAGCTGAATCTCACTGAAGATTTAGTCCATCTACTGCATAGTAAACTTTTAGGAGGCCTGTTTGCTTATTTCTCAAACCTCGCTGCACATTCTTCCAAACCTCTCGTTCCTGCTCGTGCTTCATAGCTTCCCTTTTATTTGCTTAAACATAAGAAATAGAATTATTTTTTATTCCATGCTGAAATCCCAGTATCCGAAATCTTTGACCAGTTGTTTCTGCTATCTGTTTTTTGTTTGTTGTTATTGTTGTTGTTGTTTATTATTATTATTATTTTGCTGATTTTCAGCCATAGGGCTTCTGTGTGTTTTATAAATTTTTAATGTGAATTGTTCTTTTTTTCTTAAAACTTTACTAAAACAACCAAAAACCATTGAAATCATATTTAAATGTTAGAGATTTTTCAAGCCAACAGATAGATGAACTCAAAAAACATTTGAGACCAGCTCGCGATTGCGAACTCAGGGGGAGAGGTTTCCCCTCACCCACTGCCAAGGTCAGGCACGTCAGTTGCCTTTTTCTTGGTGGATTTCTTCCTTGTTCACCCTGTTCTGCGGGCACAGCCCCCCAGCTCCCAGTGCGTGCAGAGAAACTCCTCTGGGCTCCCCACGCGGGCAGGCCCTGGATGCGCTCACCGGTCCCCCCGGACTCGCCCAGCTGGGCCCACGTCTCTGAAAGTCCGCGACTCCTCAGGGCGAAAGCAAACTTTGTTGTTCACTCACCTGCCAGGGCTCCTAGTGCTACTGCATTTTTGGAGTCAGTGAATTTGTTACTGTCATTCTATCTCAGAGATATTTATGAAGGTTTCAAAATACATATTTAACCCAGGATTTCAGCTCTCTGAACTAGGAGGGTTATCCGGAGTGCTTAATGTGCTAACCCAACAGGTACGTCGAGGCCGGACCGAAGCCGGCTGGAAACTTTATTCCGATACAGACTCAGATGTGGCTCGCGCCCCACCCTCCCTGCCACACCGAAGGTCACTTCTCGGTTCCTGTGTCACATAACCGCCCCAAAGCCCTCGGCGCCACTGGCCTCTCCCCCTCACTCCCCTCTCCTCTAGGGCCCCACGAAACTGCTCTCTCGCTTCTAGTTCTGCTCCCTGGTCTCCCTTCCCATCCCTTCTCTGTCCACCCCCCCCCCCCCGCCCCATGTTGTCACCCCTCCCTCCTGGGCTCAGTCCCGGGCCCTCTGCTTTTCAGACTCCACACACTCAGCCTAGACAATGGTACCCCCACCGGTGGCCCCACATGCCACCTCTGAGCCCCGGGTGTCCAAGCCTCCAGCTCCAGGCGGCCAGCCCCGAGTGTCCCAGGAGGTCCTGCAGATCACCCGACGTGCCGCAGGCAGTTCCCGCTTCCTGTGCGCCTGCCCCTGGCTTTGCTCCGGTGGCCTCGTGGGATTCGTACAGAAGCTTCCTCACGCTGCCCCTCTACTGGTCCTCAGGAGCTTTAATGTATAGGAGGAAGCATTTCTATTTTTTTCCAAATTGTACATGAAGAATCTCTTTAAAAAACAAACAAACAAAAAACCCTGAGTATC